AAAAACTGCGGGGCCCATTTGCATCATTTTTCTTCCTAATTTTCCCTTTTCCTTTTGGTCTCTTATTTAAAAAAAAAAAAAAAAAAAAAAAAAAGAGGTAAATAGATCTGCTGAAAACATGTATTTAATTTTTCAGGCATTTTTAAGGTTGCAATGAAAACATTGCAACCTCAATGTTTAACCTTTGGGTTAAATTGGGTGTGATGTAATTCCCAGAATTTATGCTAACCCTCCAATGCTGGAAGGCGTTGATGCGCTTGGTGACATCTACCAGGCTAATTAGCACAACAAGCTAATAGATTCTGCTGGATCCATGGTGTTACATGTTGGAGTCTGGGATTTTTTTCTGAACTGAAAGTCAGCAAGTTCTGCTTTTGAGCTTAAATGAAATTTCTCGGTACAAAGAAGGACCTGTAGTCATTAGTGCATTAGCATGTAGCATTGTATGCAGTAAGAGCTATATATACTAAAAGCAGCCAGGATGGACCAAAGGTTTGAGCTCATCACAATGCCAAAAAACTAGTTTATGCAGAATCAGGACAGAACCGAAAGAATACAGGCTGTCATGATTATTTTTTTCTATAAAAATGCATAATGTGCTATTTATCACTTCCTATTAAACAGGATTGTTGAATTCACACATTCATCCATTCTAATCTGAATCAAAGCTACACCCATTAAAACTGAGCTTTCTGAACTTTATAATAAAGCATAAATTTACATGGAAATGTCACAATGGAATATCAATTCTAAACTTTAAAACTTTAAACTCTTAGATAAAAGAAATGGGGAAAGGTGTGGGGGGAAAAAGTTTAAATCAGATAAAATGAGCTCTCCTTTGATATTGTTTGAAAAATGAGATTTTAAAAGGCATGAAGAAATAAATAAAATGAAAATAAAACAGATTTGCATATTCATAAATCTACTGAGTGACCATTCATATTTGTGATTGGTAGATTCCTTCCAGCAGTGCTTCTTGGCAGTGACTTTTAAACCGCCAGGAAGCTTGTTTATTTCCCCTTGGATTGTGACACATTTGAAAGGAAAATGCATTTGTGGTTTGAGCAGCAGCAGAGTTGAGGAAACTCGCCAATCCTTTCTGCCAATGCAAAAGAGCTTCTGGTGAAAAGCAGTGTGAAAGTGTGAGATGCCATCTCTGTCTCTGGAAAATCAAGGCTCGTCATCACGGGAGATATTCTTGATACATTCTGCAACCAGTGCAACCCATATCTTTTCATTCAGAGTCTAGACCAACGTCTGCCCTCCAAGCTGTCAGTATAAGAGCAAGGCTTATCAGAAACTATGCCTCCACTCTTAAGACGGAGAGATTATAGAGTAATCTGCCAGCAGACCTACAAAATCTGGTTGACAGCAGGATGTAATCCCACAGCAGTGATTGACCAAACTGGTGACCAGCTTGGTTAAACACTGCTGACCAAACTGGTCACCAGTTTGGTGATCTTGGGATCTTGGAGGTGCCAAGATGTATTTATGAAAGGCTAAGCGCTGCTGAGCCCCCTGGGTAGAAAATAGACAGTGTCTTGTTTCTTCATTCTTAAATTATCTAATCAAGAAATGGACACAAACCAGTAGTCAATTGCAAATTAAGTTGTCAGGTTATAACAAAAATGATTTAGTTATTTTTCATCTGCACAACCCATAGTTTACTCTCTGCTGCTCAACCCACCAATGCATTTTGTGGCACCATTTAAGGAGAAATGAAGGGGCTTTCAAATCCAAGAGGCATTGTTAAAGCAAAAAAAGCAATCAAACCAACACAATTTGCTTTCCTTTTGTGCCAAGTGTATCTGTGTTTCTATCTGATTCAGCTGCTTTAGTCCTTTATACCATTTGACAGACTGATTTGCCAAACAGGCTGGCACTAGGCTGTTTCCAGAAAGGGTTTATCTCACCTTTGTCTGAATGTCAAAGTGAAAGTCTTACCTTTACAGTCAAGAATCCAGATACAGTTTTTCCATACCTCATATACAGGCTCTGCTAGTAGTTGCATATTTTTATGTCATTGTGCTCACAGTGTAAAATACATTCCTAGCAACTGACATAAGATTTTGCTGTGACACATAACAGAAGCTGTAACATCGTACATAATGGTGAAGAAGTGTTAAAGCAAAGTGGCAACGCAGTTGATGAATTGTGATAATGTGTGGAAAAATAGCGAAAATGTGCAAAATGGAAAGCGAGAGATGTAAACAAAAGTATAGTAAAGATGGAGTGCAGTAATTTGTGTGTGTGTGTGGAGGGGGGGAGGGTATTACACCGGGAAAAAAAAGTCCTTTTTTGTTGTATGGCTCTGAAAGAAGTTCCACTGAGACGTCCATGTCTATTTTTCACAGCGTCTTTTGACTTAAGTATTGTTTGTTCCATGATTTTCCACTTTTATTAACACCATTATAGCAAGAAACGCATATCCAGGAAACTTCTGACTTACATTTTTGGCTCTACATTTATGAAAATATGTTAAGATCTTAGTAGAGGAACTCTATGTACACAGAAAAAAAAAGTTAGAGCAAAAATCAAAAATAGATCTTTTCCAACCATCCAGAAGCCCCAAAATGGAGATAACACTGAATAGACCTCATGATAAAGTCTTTTTTGTCCCTCCCGGAGTCTTAAGAGATGACCTAATTTGGGCCCTACAAGTTTTTTACTGTGTCAGCAGTGTCCACACAGAGTGTCGTTTCAGGAACTGACGATCTGACAGGACAACCCCTGTCTGGTTGTGACATTTGCCACGTTCCACCTGAACGCTAAGACTGTGTGAGTGTTATATAAACAAAGTGCCGACATTGTGGAATAAATGTACAAGACATCAAAGTGGTGCATAATTGTAAAACCGAAGGAAAAAGGAGAATGGTTTTCATCTTTTTCGCAAACATAAATAAGTGTGCAATGCATTTTTGTTCAGCACTCCTTATTTACACTCTTGAGTTCGGTGCATGAATGTGAAGTAGAAGAAAAAGGACAATTCCATATTGTTAACGATAAATATTGGGAAAGTGCTATTTGCAGTTTCATTCAATCCCTTTTACTTCAGATATTCCGAGATGAAATCCAGTGTGGTCGTCTGCCTTCTGAAGCCACTTCATTTGTAAATTGGAGTCCATCTGTGCGTAATTTCAACTCGGTAGAAATCCAAATGTTCTTCGAAGGCCTCAGAGGGTTTTTAGAGAACATTACTGAACAAACAACCTAATAAAGACCAATGAACACAACAGAAATGTTAAGAAGAAACCTTTGTAGGAGTTTAAAGCTGAGCTGGAGTGCAGCTGTGTCTAGTTATCGCGCAGCCACTATGGGCTCCACCGAGAAGATGTCTGTTTTCCCAGTGAGGGGATGCCTGGCCGTGAAGAGCACGTGTGCGTCTTTGAGGTTGTGGCTCTGACTGGAGGAGGCATGACTCTGCTGCAAGGAGTCCTGGCCTGGGCGTGACAAAGCGTGGCTCGGCCTGGAGGACTCGTGGTTGTCGGGCCAGGCGGCTCGGTGACATGGAGCACAGGCAACCGGGGGGCCTCGCTGGGGCTCCAACCCGACCGCCGCTCTCTGCCTCAGGCGGCACCTGTCGAGGAGCAGCCGCAGCTCCTGGCGGAAGGTGGGATTCAGGCAGCAGTAAATGAAAGGGTTGTAGCAGGTGGAGCTCATTGCGAGCCAGTGAAAGCAGAAGAAGAGGGTGTTTGAGGAGTGGATAGCCTGGCTGGACAGCAGCACCACGTAGCAGTTGAGCGGAAACCAGCAGACGGCAAACACCCCGACCACAAGGAGCAGCATGGCCAAGGTCCTCCGCCGCTTCCTCCTCTGCGTGGCGTGCTGAGCTGTGGTCGTGTCGCCAATGGCGTTGTGGCGCCACAGCCTGCGAGCCACCGTGGTGTAGGACGCAGTGATGATGAGGAGCGGCAGCATGTACAGCAGAATGAAGGTCAGGAGATCAATGTACTGCCAGTAGACATCTGATGGCTCAGGGAAATCTGGGACACAAAGGCTGCGCTCCATTTCTGGGCTGGTTGGGGAAAATCAGGAGAGTTGAGAGAGGAAAATAATTTAGGTCAGAACTTGGTACATTTCTTGAAATTGAAGAAGCCTTAGAAAAAAAATGCTCATGCTGTTTGATGAGCACCGAAAGTAAAACCAGTTTTGGTGGACTGCCTTGGTGAAGTATTTTTTTTTATCAACAAAAGATCACCAGGTCTGGAACAGATATTGAAATTTGTACCAAAATTGTGAAATTATTAGAATCCTTCATTTTCTGTGTGGCCAACCTAAAGCTAACAGGCATTCACCAGCTGATCCTCAGATTTATGTTGAGCACTTTGACTAGTCTACTCAAAACCTTTGAGTTAAGTTGGACTTGATGTCAGGCATCAAAGTCCCATTGCATAACCAAACCGCTTGAGGTTTAGGTCACAATCTGATGGCCGGACAAATAGTCTCCAAGATGGACTATTTGCAAAGCTTTCAAAATCACCCAAAAATGGATTTTACTTACTCTGTTTGTCTTTGTTTTACATTAAATCTGCTTAATGATGTCAAACATGCAAGTGTGACAACATACAAAAGCAGAAGAAATCTGTTACAAATTACATTTTCGAGTCGTTGTCGGCTTTGCAAAAATTTTTCCTTTCTTATTCTGGTTGGCAAAATAACTCAAGCTCAGACAGAATAAATGGAGAGCAGGTGAGAACATTAAGTTTCAATTATTATAACAGATTATCAATTGAATTTCAACCTAAACTTTGACTTGGCCATTGGAACGCATAAATATACTTTGACCTTAACCACTTCCTTGTAGTTCTGTTCGTACTTTTAAGGTTATTGTCCTGCTGGAAATTGAATCCCTGTCCTCATGCGACCTTTACCAGGTTTTATTATCTCTGCAGATAAAAAAAAGTCCCCGGTTGAGGATGTAACAAAAATAAGGAGGTAGAAACCCTTTCGTAAGGTTCTTTTAATCATCTTAAGGACACTTTTGTCATATCCGACTTTGTCTTTTGATTGTTCACCTTTTAATCCTCCCTTATCAACTGTTTTATTTGAGGAGCAAAGTTCATTTTTTACACAGCTCTCCTTTTACTATTTTAACAAGATCAAATTAAAAGAAAAAAAAACACCAATCTTCAAAAGAATGAACAGGATTGCTTATTTGCTTTGAAGTCATCAAGTCAAGTGTCACTCTTGTCTCTCAGGCACAAAATAGGAAGTGTGTGTTTGTTTCTCAACTAATTAAGTGTGAACAAGTTTGAGTGTCAAGAATCGTACCTGTAGGTGAAAGTCAGGAGTTTCTGGTAGATTGCATGTGGTAGGGAAAAGCAGCTGGCCATTATCCAGATAACAGCCACCCAAACACCGCCTTGAGCTGGGGTCATCCGCGGTCTGAGCGGATGCAGTATCACCTGAGGAAATGGAGCAAACAACACAGATGAACCTCTCCACAAACACACACACACACACACACGCACACGCACACACACCTACACACACACACACACACACTGCAAATCGATATGAAACACATTTGAAGAAGACATGAACAGCATTTAGGATTAACTACTCCCCACAAGTATTTGTCTATTTTTGGCCTTTGTTGTGATAAAAAAAGAAAAAAAAACTAGCCTTGATTTAAAAGACAATGATTAAACGTCAGTTTGTTTACTGGAAGCTCTATTGACCAGAGGCTTCAAGGGGGAGACACAATGTACCGTCGGCTTTTGTTGTCTAATAGAAATAAAGGCGGTAGAGGGGGGGGCTTTTTCTTTGTAGGTGGTTCGATAAGAAACTGAGTCTATCTACAAAAAAATTCAGAGGAGCTAAAAAAGAAAAAAATAAATAAAAAGATCTATTGAATTTTCCTGATGCTTTCATGGAACCTCTGTAATTAAAAAAAAAAAAAAAAAACTAAAAGTAGGTGCACAGGCTTGGATATAATGTTTTTGTCCATTCTATGCAGTTCAATGTTTTGGTGTTGATGAGAACACCAAAACATTGATGTCCGACAAGTAACAGGAGGAGAATGGTGAATAAATGAATCTCAGTAAACATAAAGAGACTCACGACAAGCAACAGCAAAAGAACCCAGAGGAACTAGGCAACAGACTCAGGTCAGCAGAGGATCTGACCATGAGAAAAAGGACTAAGTGACTGATAAAATACTACTATGAGGTGAGAGAATCACCAGATGGAAAAAGGCTGAAGGTGTGTGAGGAGCTGAGGGAATTACAGAAGTATGGAGCAGAAAATGTCAACATGAGAAACACTGAGCAGAAATGCAATCTTAACGACACACAGGAACTGATAGACCAGCAGATCTACTCAAACAGAGTCAAAATGACATATAAACGCTAAAAATCTATACAGACACCAAGAATAACATTTGGATGAATTGCGAAGAAACAATCCTGGCTTAATCCCAGGAAGATATGGTATAGCTCATTAACACTGGTATGTTTTAAGGTGAAAACCAGAATATTTTGAAAATGCTCAGCAATGTCAAGGTTAGAGTTGTTCCAGAAGCTTTTTATTACTCTAATTTATTCAAGAAAATAGTTTTATGGTATGTTTGCTGTCGGTGTTTTGCTGAAACACCCAGCGGAGTCAAATCAGAAGGGGGTCTGGATAAAGCAGGCTAACATCAATGCCACTGAAAATTCATGAAGCATGAATTGAAAAGCCAGTGGGTTGTCTTTTCTGGCAGGAGACCAGTCCATCTTAATGACCTCTATCACTTCTGATAGAAGTAGCCGGCCAAATAAAAAATCCACTCAGAATCATGCCAGGAGCTTGTTGACACCTACGCCAAAAGTGTGTTTTCTCTGCAGTTTAAGGGTAAATAAACAAATCGTAATAGTGACAGTCGTGGAAGTGTCCATGTTTGAGCCTGTGGATAAAAGAAAATATACATCATATTTAAGATTATGTGTCTCGTTCTAGTTTAAAAACAAAATGGCAATGATTGTTTTTATAATGACTCACAAAAAAACAACAATGGACAGACATGACATAGCACTGAAATCGGTATTCTGGAGAAAACTTTGATTTTGTTTTTCATAGAAAGAAACATTAAAATAAAGTTGTTGTTTTTTTTGTTTTTTTTTGTTTGTTTTTTTTATTGAGCAAAAGAAAATCTGAATTTGCTTTCTAAATTCTCTTGAGAATTGGACCAGAGCCAATATAATAATCCACTTTCCACTAAATATTGTAATTCTGAGAATAAACTTTCATAAATTCTTGCTGGCATAGACAATGTTATCCTTGAGACAGACACATTTTTTTATAGATTTCAAATGAATAAAAGTGTTGCATTTAATGGTACTGATATTTTTTGATACGTAATATAATAAAAAAAGTTCAAGACCATTTTTTTTTTAAAAGAAAATGCATCGAAGATTCTGTGCAAAAATAAGGTAAATGTGCACAGTACGCTTGGAACCCTGTACATAAAACACAAGCCGGGAAAGGTTAATTTAATAGATATAATTATGCATGTGCAAGGTGCTCAGTAATGGCTCCTTGGGAGCGACTTTCAGGTCAGACTCTGAAGGAGATAGAATAGTGAGAGACTGGCAAATCAAACCTAGGTGTGCAGGCAAAATGGAAACACATTCCTCCATACAAAAAATGCACATCTCTATACACCCACCAGCTCCAATCCTCCATCTGGTCCCCAACACACACCATGATAACAGCAGCCTGTGATGCAACAAGACTAATGCAATGGGATGGATAGTTAGATCAGCAACCCTTTACAACATCGAGACAATTTAATAAGTTGGACTGAACATGCATTATTGGGTGTCAAAGGCAGGTAAATCTGGCAGTCGTCTGTGTAGTAGTGGAAAGAGACGACACATTTTTGAGGGGGGAAAAAATACCACAAAAGCGGTTAGTCTAATGGCTATCCACACAGACTTGCTAGAATGAATGCAAATCATTTTCTTGAAGTGAGGAGGAAGAATTACACACTGATATTGACCAAAGGATATAGAGGTGTGTCAAGAGGATCTGGGCACAACCTAGCACTTTTCACAAAATAATTAAAAAGTAGAATGCTGAGAAATTACCCTTTTATTACAGCATCTTCATCATGCTTGTTACAAATCACTGTTCGGTGGGTATGTTTCAAACACTTGCTGTTTCTTTCTGAGGCAATAAAAGTGGCATCAGTGAAATTTTATAACTTTAATAGATGGAGAATTCAAACCCTTGCTAAAGACTTTTTCGTTTTGATAAATATCTGAACGTGGAAATCTATCTACACAGAGATTATTCTGCAGCTCACTTCCTATAGTTCTGCGACTTAAAATCAGCTTGAAGTTCCACTGTGGGTAACGTTCATGCTCCTAGTCAGGTGCAAATCCTCTAATTGAAAGGAGAATAAGCTGTTTGGCTTTGGTGGAGGGCAATTTGGCAGAGTTTCATGAGCCTTAAGCCACAAATTCAACAGTCACAATTGTTTTTTGTTTTTTTGTTTTTTTCAACATAATCTGCCACTTTTTGCAGAAACTATTGCAAAAATCACTGTTACAACAGAAAAAAATAATAATTTCCTATTCTTGCCGAGTTTAATCAGTTTATATAAAACAGGACAGTCAGACAATTATGGATGAAAAGCAGAAATTATCTTGGCAGGTGACCATGACCTGCCGCATCCAAATCTGATGTCATGTCAGCCACTTCAAGCACTCAACATGCAAAGGTAAAGTAAGATTAAATATCGTTGTTACATGGCACTTGAGAAACACTTATGTAATTAATTCAGAAACAGAAAATGCTTCATAATTGTCATGAATTCTCAATGCAGCGCACTTCGTTTAGTTGTTTCTGATCATTTCAAACATCCAAGTTATTCATCGAGTCTAGATAGATTATAATCAATAGATTCCCACTTGTCTGTGGAATCAGAGCAGTACTCAAGTTTGATCACTCAAAGGGATGGAACAAATTTTTAAAAACTTGGATGACAAAGAAGCCTTCATTTTGTTGATTGTTCCAAGTAAAGTGTTTTGGTCACTCATGCTGTATTTTAGTGAGAAGCATGGTTCGCTTTAGTCATCAGATTTATTGAAATTACCTTGGGTTTGTTTTTATGTTTCTGTAACTTATGACATGAAGTGACAACTTACAGCAGGAATACTGCAATGCTACTCTTGTCAAATGTTTTGACAAATTAGTTCATAAATGTGCTGATGTCAAAAAGCAGTTTTTTGTGAAATAAAAAGACCAAGATCATGCATAACCCAGATACTTTCATTAATCCGATTTGTCATCATCTGCTCATTGTGCGCAGGTTCATCAAGTGCATCTTTCATCTCCTGCTTGCACAGCCTCTCAGCCTCTGAGGAGATTCAATTTATTTTGTTTCCTAAAAGCAAGGTTTTTGTGTACTTTGGTACTTTTGCACCCTGTCTGACTATTCTCAAACAAATTGTCCCATTGCTCATCACCTCTTTGTTTATCCACATGTTGGCTGCATGCAAACTGGCCGTTCGTAAGACAGTCCATTTTAATGCAGCACAAGTTGGTGCATTCTGACCATAACCAACCATTAGTTCAGTAACACATGTAAAAATTAACTAATGGTATAATAGCTAAAATGTGTAGAAACATGTAGAACTGAATTTCAAGTTAGGATAAAGCGCATACAAAAAAAAAAAATTCAACTGGAAGAACCGAGTGCGGTATTTTTGATGCAAAGATAATGGATCAAAAGAGACCACTCTTCGTTTTCTTCAATGAGGAATAAATGGATCCTGAAGATGTGATCCATGTTTGGGGTCTATTGAGGATCCATTAAGAACTAGAATTAGGCTGTAAAGCATCAATATTAGCCAAACACCGTAGAGAGAACATTACACTTGCCAACCACTAAAACATTCATAAAAGGAGCAGCACTTTGCAAATGCTTATAGCCATCTTTTCTATTCCACAAACCATAATGAGACACAAATAAGTGCACAACTGAAAGCAACACCTCCCCCACTCCACCCTTCCCGAGTACATAGTTTGCACAAGAATCTTTTGGAAATAAAAGTTGCAGAGGTGTGTTTTACACAACACTGCACTCACTTTGTGACATGGTGTGGAAACAATCATCTTGTCTTCAATGGGAAAAGAACAAATGAGATGGTTGCAACTTTCAGGAGGAGCAGGAAGAGCTCAAACACATATATTTGCATCATTTGGGGGAAAGAAAAAAAGTTGAGGTGGTGGAGAATTAAAAATACCTCCAGTCCACAGACCGGACTGGAGGCACAACTATGAAGCTGTCTACAAAAGGGACACAGCAGGCTGTACTTTTTCAGGAATCTCAGATCCTTCAAGGTTTGCAGCACTAAGGATACAATAATAATAATAATAATAATAATAATAATAATAATAATAATAATAATAATAATAATAATAATAATAATAATAAATCATGACAACAATAAGAATGATAATAAAGACTTCATAGATCTCCATGATGACTTTGTAGATGTCAGTCATTGTGTGTGTGTGTGTGTTTTAACTTATTTAACAATGCTTCACAATAAAGTCCCATTTTGTTCCAATACACACAATAAACTCAATGCACTGCTGATGAAGCTGTACGTCCTAAAAGCATTAAAAACTACAGTGCTGTGTGATTCCAAAGCAGCAGTGGGGGTGAAATATAATTTACTGTATTCAGATAGGCTTTATTTTTCCAATTGTCTTGGTCTTTGTTGTATTTGGTGTCATTGTGAGTGTTGTTGCTGCATGAACTCATCATTTTCTTCATTCATTTATTCATTCAGCCAGACAAAAGAAAAAGACAGAAGACTGAGACACAGCTTTAGAGAACATGTCCATAGTTCATAAAAGCGTAGGATATCTCCAGATACAATGTGCTTTCAGCGTGCGCTTTTCAATCACATCTTAGCTGAAAGGGACCCCGGCCCGACGCGTTTCATTGTTACCTCTGGTCAAAGAAGCAGAATCTAATATGAAGTTGAAGAAAAGAACATTTCATTTGTATTTTATTTGAAGTAACAAATGAAAATGCAATCGGAGGGTGTTTTTTATTGCTTTTTTTTTTTTTACCTATTCTTACATTTTCTACCATTCCATTTTTCTCTGTAGTTTCACTTAAATTACAACTAAACTTCTTTTGTGCTTTTAAGATTAAATTAAGGGACGTAGTGAATCAAAATGACGACAAAATGACTAAAAAAGCAGACCAAACTTTAAAAGTTTATAAAGCCTCGAAAACTATTGCCTCATTCACCACTGAGAGATCACAATCTGGCTCACTGGAAACAAATACATACAGAAATAAAGAATGACTCAATCTTTTTGTACGGATCTGAAAGCTAGTAGCACAGTTAATCTGCCTGAAATGCTGTTTTTAAAAAGCATCTTTGAAGATGGAGCATGTTCACATTTAATGAATCTCACATTCAATATTAATTTCAAGAAGAGTTTTCATATTGCACCTGTTAAAACAAAGACAAAGCAGATTTCAGATAATTACAGCTAAGGTGTCATGACGTTCCCTGAATGGGATCCTTTCAGGTTGCTGGTTTTATGTCACCTCGTCTCCTCTCATCTTCAGCCTGTAATATGGAAATCAATCAAAAGCTGCCATTATGAGGAAAGCCTTATTCTGAAGAAGGAAAGAGGAGAGGAGGCGTGTTTGTAGAGTTATATGAGGAAATGCAAACAGAAGTGTTTTTGACCTTCTGCAGACCTAAAAATAGGAAGGATGCTGTGAAGATTCATATTGTCAGCAACACAGACTTTCTTCTCGAACTTTGCAAAAATCAAATCTAAGATGAAATTAAATTCTAAAAGTGTTCATGTGTTTAAAGGTGTCCTGTGTTCAATATTTCCTATCTTGTCACTCCTCACCTGAATACAGACTTAGACTTAGACTGAATACAGACCCTTAGCAAAGGAGAGCACTAGAGAGAAGATCGTCTTTTGATTTGACTAAAAAAAAACCCTGCAATTCAGCAAAGACCGAGGGCAAACCCTGTAGTGCATGCACGAGCTGACCTGTCTTCGGTCCAGAGCGATGGCGGTGAGGGTCAGAGTGGACACATGCAGAGAGCAATACTGTACAAAGCGACTGATGTGACACATTGTCCTCCCAAACACCCAGGTCCTGTGCACAAAGCGGACCTGAGGGAACACAAACACCCGGGAGCTCAGATTACAGCTACGAATTCAACAAGGGTAAAGTTTATTAAGCTTTGGAGAATATATTAGTACAGCGCTGCTCCTCCCCCACCTGAGTCTGTAACATATTGAAAGAAAGATCACTTCTTCTTTTTTTTTCATACAAACAAAACAGGCATATTTGACTGCTTGGAAATAATTCAAACTCCTAAAGACATGGACGGTGACAGAGTAAGCTGCACCTCTTTCTTGATAGAGTAATTCTGATTTCAAACCACAGCTGAAAAGCTGCAAGGTGATTAGCTTTAAGCAAAGCTACTTAAGATCTTATTTTAAATATTTGGTTATTTAACTCAAGGTTATAATACAGAGTCTCATACAAGTTTATGCCTCACTAATGAATACATTTATTTTAATCATACAAGAACTAGAAGTATTTAAATTATACAGTCACTCCAAATTAATCTCATTGAAAATAATTGATAATTTACTATTTCAGATTATTGATAGCTATTATTATTGCTTATAAATACTGACTGAAATCTACCAACATAAAACTTGTTCACACTTTTACATTTTATTTAACGTATTTTTAGTGCTGTAGAGACATTACGCACGGGTGCGTTAAATGCTCAACAAAGCAACAGTAGCTGTTGGTGAGCTTCACTGAAAGTGGGACCCTTTCAAACTCGTCGACAAAATATTTGGCGAGCGGGACAGTTCCGGTAAAGTTGTCTTACCAGAGTGAACGGTGTGTTAAGCACTGTGATGAAGATATCGGCCACGGCCAGGTTCAGGATGAATAAGCTGGTGGAGGACTGAGTGCGCTTGTTTTTGGCCACCACATGGCACACCAGCGTGTTTCCGAACAGAGACACCACGATGATGAGCGAGTAGGCGGCCACCAGCAGCACCTTGACCCAGCACTCCTGCGACTCCTTCGCCCTGCTCCTCCTATTGGCCAGGGCGCGCCAGTCCTCCAGCATCCCGTCGTCGAAGTCCAGCAGGAAAACACCCGAAGTCCGGTTCCCCGACTTGGCCGAAACATTCAGTAAACTCTCCGTGTGTGAGAACATCTCCTCTCCCAGAAGTGAGGAGTCGTTGAGCGTTTGTTCCGCAGCTGCCCGCTGAGAGCCGAACATCCAGACAACAAATGGCCAAACACACGCAGCTCGCATTTTTTTTCTCTCTCTCTCTCTGCCCTCCGAAGCGTGCGGTCTCTCCGTGCTCTAGCTGTGCCTCTGAGGTGCTGTTGGTGCTGAAGCTGCAGCAACAAGTAGTGATGCAGCTCTGCAGCGCTGATGTCTTCAAACGCGCGGAGCATCATCTGACTGACAGCGGTCCAGGTGGGCTGCAGCTAACTCTGCCAGGACCCCTGGCCGCTCACAGTCCTCCCATTAAACACACACACACACACACGCACACACACACACACACAACCTCACTCACACACATTGCCTCTTCCATTGATGTTTTTTAAGCCAGTCTGACTCCTAAGTCACACTTTGAAGTTCCATATCAGTAAAAAAAAAAAAAGGCTTTTGCTGTCTGCGATTATTGATTTGCACTCGGAAAGCTGTTTGTCTATTCAACGTGACTGTTTTAAAAGTCAAACTCTGCTGTGTTTATCCCCGGAGACTTTCCAGGCGCTCTAAATCTAAATCCTTTTAATAGGAAAAATGGTTGAAATGCATGTAAATGAAGTGGTGTTTGCCCTTCACTCCCATCTTTTATTTCCCATTTGCTTTCACTTGCTCAGAGAATATTGCCTCATTACTGGCTGAGTTATCTTGTGTAACCTAAAAACATTTACTGCAGATGTATGAACTCCCGTGTGAGCTCTTTGTTTTGTCACACAGAACTTACAGATTTCTATTTTGATGTATTGTGATGATACTCAAACTCTTTAGACACAAAGCATACTTCATTTTTAAAGGAAAGAGGCTGTTTGTATCGGCTGTCCTAAACACTAAGAATTGGTTGTGCCATCGCCTTGACAACAGCAACAATAACTGGCATCAAGCACAACCTAAAACTGGCAGGGGCTTGAATGGGCATTCTCTTTCAGTATATTTGGTAAAGAGGAGAATCAATTGTTATTTCAATTCTTTCAAGTCATCCTGGTCCTTCAAAAATATAAATCCACTTTGATTTCCTAATTCTATAGATGTATAAGACACTTTACGTTTTTACTCCAGGCAATTCAAACTACTCATAAAAGTAGTAATATTTTTACAACCACTCAAAACCATCCTGTTTCTTTGCAAGCTTGCGATATTTTAAAAGACGTTGCAAAAGTAGCTTTGCTCCGTAGTTCATGAAGGTCAAAGCATGTTTAGACTGTTGCTGCCTTTTATACATTTGACTGATGATGGCAAAGTATTCTGCAAGATGTGCTTAAAAACATTTGTATTGGATAAGAAGATGCCAAGGAAGCGTCAGGCCACTGAAACTCTCTATTCTTAATTCTTGAATGGTACTGAAGTGATTAATAAATACAAAAGAAACAATTTTGTTGCATTAGCAGGTACTTTTGTGACAAAGAGCAAAGAAACAGACAAAAAAAACAACCTTCACAAGACTTCAAGCAGTCTGAAGAATCATTTCTCTTCTAGACAAATTTCAGAGAACACAAAAATGTGCAGATACTTTCTTAAAATTGTTTGAATTAGAAAATAAGTCAATTTTACAGGGACATCGCATTTGACTGAGATAAATTTTAGAAAGGATGACACCAGTATAGATTTAAATGCACATGCACAAGCACTGTCTGGACTAATTTCTGTAATATGTTTGCACAAAAGTAACTCATATGGTAATGAGACATTTATTCAGAATGTCTTCTTCATCTTAATGCTTGCCTCTGTTTTATTATGTCAACATCCTGTGCTCATAAGGCGTTGAAAACAGATGCTGAGATCTCTATAATATGAGTCACTAAAGAGCTCTCATGAGATAAATGTCACCTTGCAGTTTTACTCATCTAACTGACGCCACATGATTCAGTTTTAAGAACTTTATGTGGGGAAAAAAAATTCTGTTTTGTTCATTTCTGTCCTCTTCACTACTCATATATTTTTCCTTTTCTGTCTTGAGTCATTCTTCAGCTGGTGTCGGATAATAAGACGTCTCTGCTTCGGATAGCAAACATGCTTTGTTTGGTATTTTAGCCCGATTTATTCAAACACAAGACAGAGCCGTTCACTTCAGAGTAATTCCTACCGGAAGTCCTTCACTCTGAACCCAACATTAAGGGACATATTTTGTACCACCTGGTTTGACAGCCATTGACTTAAAGCTATTGTTTTTGTGCGGTGTCTGAACACAATTGAAGGATGTTATACATTTGGTTAGCTAGCATAAGCAGTTGAGAAAAATGAAACAAGTAATGTTTTCTAAAAAAAAAAAAAAGACAGCCATGAGTGCATCCATTCAATAAATGTGGTGCTTTTCAGTATTGCAGAAAGCATTTTCAACACCTAGTCACCCCTATGCTGTTTTTATTGGTGAAGATTATCTAAGATCATAGCAAGAATATATACCCATCTAGCCTAAGAAAATATCAATTTGAGGGCAAAGATGTCAGGAGGAAAAATTTGAAGCCACTGCAGGCTCAAACTCAAAAGGTTTTTAAGATCAAAACTTGTGTCTCTTGTAATGCTGCTACGAATAGGCACAACACGTTCTGTGGCAGAAGACTTCATTTTATGCCTCCAAAATTAGGATTTGAAACAACCAAACCACAAAAGAAGTAGTCATGCAGGGTGAAATGACCAGCATCAAAACGACCCCAGTTCATACCCCCAGTTTGAACCCATGCACTCCTCTTTTTACATCCTTGTAAATGCAGTTTATAATTTTAAAGTATGGGGGAAAAAAGTCCTCTAGGGAAATTAGATCATGCTCACATACTGAAATCATGGTGTATCGTTTTTGTTTTTGTTTTTTTTTGTTTTTTGTTTTTTTTAGGAGACCAAGCCACAGAAGAAATTGTCAGACAAGAAAAGTTCTGTCATTACACATTTTAGGACATCCTCAGATTTCAGGAAAACATCCTCACACATTAGAACAAAGCCAGATGTCAGACCAAGGCCGTTTTTTCTACGAATTTTTAGACCTTATTGTATGAGGTCGTTTTTTCTGACGTTTTTATATGGAGATCTTTTCGTCTAAAGCCGTTTTCACTGAGAGATTTTATCCTAACACCGTGTTTTCTGGGACATTTTCGACTGAGGCCACACCAATAAGGGCCAGAAAGCAGCGCAAGAAGCATCTGAACTGAACTACGAGAAATTAAATCAGCGAAGAAGTATGGAAGCAGGGGAGGCTTATGGGTAATGCTGTTCTTCTACCCGAACGCTCAATTCTTGATGCTTGCAAGGAACTACACACCCCATGGGCCTTTTCATTTGCCTTCTCAGGGTAAAAGACTGTTTTAATTTTCTGTGTCTTTAAAAGCAGATTGTGAGATGTTGTAGGCGAAATTAAGCATCAAGGTAAGTTTGAAACAGTTGCTATTTTGTGTCCGTGGCAGAAGACTTTGGTCTCAGCTACGTTGTTTGGTTTAGTGGTAATAAAATCTGTTACGTGAAGCGACAATGTTTTTGCTTGGAGTTTTTTCAGCTTGTTTTAGTTCACAACGAGTATAAACTGCGGCTAACGGTAGCCTAATTAGCTTTTATTTCAGCAGGGGAGAGCGTTGCTGTTTTCTTACAGTTTACAGTGTTTCTATTGATCATATGGGACACTTGAACTAATTTCTGATACGAATTTTAACGTACGAGTCTAACGAAAACTGTTATCAAAGTAATCATTGAGCTTAGAGGGGGAAACCGACAAAAGTCCCACTTTTGTAAAAATAAATAAATTGCTAAATATCTGTGTCGTACTGGGTGTTTGCAGCATTTCTCAAAATGCTAGCTTTTTAGCGATTAGTTGATTTATTGCCTATTATAACAGGCTTACTGTTACTTCCAGCTAATGCACTTTTTGACCATAGAGGTTTGACAAATTTACAAACCAGGAAGATCATATATTAATTTTTAAACTCTCAAGCTTGAAAATGGCAAAACAGTTGATGTGCAACAAACGTATATTATACACAGTTATGGGAACAAAAATATGTAAATAATGTGTTGTCTTTAAGTTGCAGGACATACTGAATAATCGGGTCCTTAAAAAGTATTAAAGTATGCTTGTTTAGACTAGTGAGACTCGAGGCTTCACACTGTTTCAATATTCATCCTACAGAAATACGCTAAAATGGAAAACAAAAGGTCCATAGACCTAACTTCACTTTTTATGTTGTTTTTGGAGCAATGGCTTCTTCTCTATTTTACTTTTCTCCCTTCACTGCTACCAGAGTTGTTTCACTGTGGATTATGACTTTCTCTATAGCTTCAGGCAGCATGGTCTTTTGATTTTGTTCTGGGTTTGATAAATACCATCTTTAACCAAAACACTCCTCTGGACAGTAAAGTTTCAGGCTTCTTTCCTCGGCAGGGGGAGATTTGTCATTAGTTCAATATTTCATGCAATATTTTCATCATGTACGATTGTTTATGTAATATTTGCACAAATTTAAAAAGGAAGAAAATGTGAATTCATCTCTACAAAATTCAGCTCGGCATCACGACAAATCTTTAATGACAAATATGAAAGATGTTGGTTGCTGAACATTGTAAACGGTGGTTTGACTCAAGGTTTTCCTTCAGTTACTCAAGTCATTCTGATTCGGGCTCTTCAACAAACTTGGTGTGGAATGGAGTTTCCGGAAGATTTCAACCAGCTCGAGCTGCTCGACACCCACGGGCACCTGATCCCCAGAGGGCCCACGAGTTCCTGGACGGCGAGCAAGGATGAGGAGGAGGAGGTGGACGAGGAGACGCACAGCGAGGAGTGGTATCTGGAAAAGGAGGACGCACTCAAAGACAACCCAAAGGAGCTCGTTCTCTGGGCAGCAGAGAATAACCGCGTAAGTGCCGGCAAGCAAGGGTCACACTTGACAAGGGCTTGAAATAATTGCTTTAAGGTCAGTCCGTGCAGGTTGTTATTTTTGTTTTCATAGTGTTGCATTTCTGGTCTTGTTATCCACATCATCATGAACTCTCCTGAACAGCTCTGTGGACGACTCTTAACAGGCTTCTCTGTTTATTTTATAAAAAAGAAAAGATTGGGGGGTGAGGGGGAATGGACACTCCACAGTCAGTGTTGAGGCAAAATAATAAATACTCACATGCCTATCCCCCCCCCCCCCCCCCATATTAACTTCCACCAAATATGTTTTTATTTGGTATTTTGGGTCACAAACCAGTTGGAAGGGAAAACACTTAATACTTATTTTTTCCAAATATTTTTTGCCAAAGTATACCTAAGAAGTTGTCAAATACAGCTGAAAGTTTTCTGGAGAATGTTTCTACCAACATTACACATCTAAAGACTGAGATGTTTTCTTTCCAAAATGGAAGAACAGATGGGAATGCTCTTCCATATTCTGATGACAGATTGAACAGAGCTCCGCTTGAAGCTTGAGATATTGTTGTTCTCTGAACAGATCCTGCTTTAGATTGCTCCACAAGATTCTCCTCAACTTGCCTGTTGCGATCCTTGCTCTTCGTGGCCTTACTCATTTAACCTTTAAATAACAGCTGTATTAAATTATCAGCTGACCTCTGAGAGCAATTAGTTGTATTTGATGTTTAGAGGTGTTGGAGTAGAAAGGTCTGAATTTGCCTCACAGGACTGAACGATATTTTGCATCCAGTCTCGTCTAAATCCATATAGGAAAGAACCGCTTGGACTGGATCAAATGTCTAATTACTCAGGCTCTCTAGTTGTAAAATATTTCTGTGCACTTGTCATTTTAGTTCAGCACATTGAACCCAGATAAAATAAAGATTGTGGTTGCAACAAGGTGTTTGAGTATTTAGCGAACTCTTGGGACTTTATTAAAAAAAAAATATGAAACTTGCTGTGTTAAGATGGCTCAGCCTGCAGTTATGTGCTTTTATAAACTCATTACTATCTTCCTAGATTCAGATTCAGAAAGCACGGTGAGGAAGTTGATTCAGAAAGACGGCAGAGAGGTCAGATAAATCCGGCGCAGAGACGAAGTGAGAATGATCATTTGTTTGTTCCTTCGAGGTTGTTTCTGGGAAACTTCCTTTAGTTTGTTCAAGTTGCCACTGCTTTTCTTTTGAGCACACTGTTGTCAGTTAGTGAGGTTTCTTTAATGAGATGTTTTCCTCAAGTCTGCAGCTCGAGTCTGAATGTCATGTCGGTGACTAAAATATGTGAGGAAAAAACCCCCACAATTTGTTTTACTGAGAAAACGGTTATATAATGCAGCTGCAAACAAATTTCACTCAAACTTTTAAATCTGCCAAAACATTATTTGCAAAAACATAGAATGCATTTCTCTAAAACTTGCTGCTTTATCCATTTGATATTTAATTTTGCTGACTATTTTGTACATTCTAAGTTAATTAGTGATTACTGCTATCTTTGTTTAGAACAAAACGGTTAAAATGTTTTGCTTTTACACTCTAATGCTCCCTAATTTAGGGCCAGATGTATCACTATGTAATTTTAACAAGATGTAAACTACTTAAATTTAATCTCTAGTTTACAAAATGTCGTACAGGATCCCATGGTAACATTGTTTAATGAAGGAGAACAAAGTGGAGATGGGAAAAGATGAGTGCAAAATTGCTGCTCCTTGTTGAAGGAAGGGAAAGTAGGAATTGTTCTGGAATGGCCGTCCAACCGCCACCTGCAGGAAAGGCGGAGACAGCGACTCCCTCTTCCTCAAACTCTAACCCAAATATCGTAGACGGTCTCCCCCATCAGACTGGCTGACAATTCAGCCTCCCATGTTTTCGCTCTGGTTCTTTTATGGAATCGTCTGTTCTGTTTGTACAGATATTTTGGTCAGTTTCATTTTGTCTACATCGTGAAAAAGGGACTTAAGATTCAAATAACATTTTGAGATGATACAAGACTTCGCTTTACGTCAGTCATCGCCAAACCCTAGAAATGCGTTCATTCTAGAAACTTGTGATATGAAAATTGTTCTGAAAGATTTTCTTTGACAGGAGGTCTCACATTTTGAGGTAAAGTGACTTTATCTCACTCAGGGGAAAAAAAAAAAACAAAAGAAAAAAAAAACATGGCTTTTAAAAACCAGATTTGACCAGTTTTTCAGCTTCATTTCTAAATCCATCAAAGTGCTGAGATGCATCTGATTTAGTCTTGCTGCTGCATTGGCTTAACGTTGCTGCAATTTTCTCAGTGGTGTCATCGTGGCAAGACGAACAATTTTCTGTTTTCCTCGGCTCGCTCTCTCTCTTTAATAGCGGCATTCAGAGCTCTTCTCTTTTAGCCACCCTGCTTCTTCATCATGAACAACTCGTTCCTCTTTTCCTTCTTTCCTTCCTGCTTTTAGAGTAATCGGACAAGTACAGCGGCTGTCACAAGGCAGATTTTTTTCTTTTATGGCACTTTCTAGTCTAACCAGTCTGTTTCGAAGGTGCTGAAAACTGTAAAAAAAA